TAGAATTATGTGGTCAAGCTTTCTTGCGAGTGTCCTGTGCTAAATGTTCTGTTAGTTGGTACTGAATATAGTTAAAACTGACCGTGGATATGGCTATTTTGTTATGTAACTTTGTGAACAATATAGGTGATAGGGTCATATAAAAACATTGATTCATAATTTTAAAAACATGATTCATTTTATGGTTTGGTTTAGTTTGCAAACTTCTAAGAGTGTCTTAATTGTTTCCCTCATCCCTGCTACAATGCATGCACACACAAATTGGTCTTCCTTTTCATTTTAGTTTGATATTTTAACATTGTAATCCTAACCTGGCTTGCTAATCCAGATCCTTACAATTAATTATTGTTTTGTGCTTTTGATCCTTCCAGACATATACCTAACAGTTGTTTTGATTTGATTGGTAGAATGGAATGCATTCTCTTTGTCAAGTTGTGTGATCTAAGCATAGAAGGTGGTTGTTGATGTCAATGATCTGTCTCAATCCTTTAGTGTGTGTAAGTTTGAAACAATGATCATACACAAATACATTGGTAGGATGTGGTTGGTGTCTCATTAGTTCCCCTTGATCAGATTATGTACCATTTTTACTTTTAGTCACCTATATGAATGAGTATTGAGATAAAGCCTTGAAATCATTGTAGCCGGAATAGATGTATGATAATATTGAGATTTTACTAAGCGATTGACAAATCGTGATGAGTATTTCGCAGTAGAGCTCTTCATGACTAGGCGACTCTCTAATGTTTATCACATTTTTCTTCTCTAGTGTCAATGAAGATGAAGGAATGCTAGGCAGGAGCAGATTGGGCAGGAAAGGGAAATTTTGGTTTTAAATAATTGTCTCTTTCTACCTTAGGGAGATTTGGTGTTGGTGATGCTTACAATGAGGAGTCCCTTGATGAAAAGTATAAGAAGCTTCACTGTGACATTGCTCTGCTTCCTCATGATAACAACGATTATCGGTTGATTGAGAATTACTTGATATGTCAATTTTTTTTAACTTTGAATTTGGGAACTTTTTAAAAACATTTTGAAAGCTTTGAGTTTGGTAAAATTGAATTCCCAATCCAAGTAAAAGAAATTTGATTATTATTGTTAGAGAACTATATTAGCTATAACAACCACAACTAGCTAAGTCCTATTTAATGAATTAGGAATCATTTAGAAACACAAATATCATGAATACATATATAAGTGATAAGCATGTGCAATCATGAATGCAAGTCGCAACTTAGCATATTTTGTAGTTTATCTAGTTGAATGTACGCTTATGTATCTTATGCTTGTATTATCAGGATGCTATATACGTGAAATAACCTATCATAAGCCTGCATTTAACGCATTTATAAGTTTCAAGAACTCTATTTCCTCTGTTTCTGTTAGAATTATGTGGTCAAGCTTTCTTGCGAGTGTCCTGTGCTAAATGTTCTGTTAGTTGGTACTGAATATAGTTAAAACTGACCGTGGATATGGCTATTTTGTTATGTAACTTTGTGAACAATATAGGTGATAGGGTCATATAAAAACATTGATTCATAATTTTAAAAACATGATTCATTTTATGGTTTGGTTTAGTTTGCAAACTTCTAAGAGTGTCTTAATTGTTTCCCTCATCCCTGCTACAATGCATGCACACACAAATTGGTCTTCCTTTTCATTTTAGTTTGATATTTTAACATTGTAATCCTAACCTGCCTTGCTAATCCAGATCCTTACAATTAATTATTGTTTTGTGCTTTTGATCCTTCCAGACATATACCTAACAGTTGTTTTGATTTGATTGGTAGAATGGAATGCATTCTCTTGTCAAGTTGTGTGATCTAAGCATAGAAGGTGGTTGTTGATGTCAATGATCTGTCTCAATCCTTTAGTGTGTGTAAGTTTGAAACAATGATCATACACAAATACATTGGTAGGATGTGGTTGGTGTCTCATTAGTTCCCCTTGATCAGATTATGTACCATTTTTACTTTTAGTCACCTATATGAATGAGTATTGAGATAAAGCCTTGAAATCATTGTAGCCGGAATAGATGTATGATAATATTGAGATTTTACTAAGCGATTGACAAATCGTGATGAGTATTTCGCAGTAGAGCTCTTCATGACTAGGCGACTCTCTAATGTTTATCACATTTTTCTTCTCTAGTGTCAATGAAGATGAAGGAATGCTAGGCAGGAGCAGATTGGGCAGGAAAGGGAAATTTTGGTTTTAAATAATTGTCTCTTTCTACCTTAGGGAGATTTGGTGTTGGTGATGCTTACAATGAGGAGCCCCTTGATGAAAAGTATAAGAAGCTTCGTTGGGACATTGCTCTGCTTCTTCATGATAACAACGATTATCGGTTGATTGAGAATTACTTGATATGTCAATTTTTTTTAACTTTGAATTTGGAAACTTTTTAAAAACATTTTGAAAGCTTTGAGTTTGGAAACTTTGAATATACTGAGAGCTATGTACTCGTTATGGTTTGGTAATAGAGGGTCTTTGATGTGTGGATGCTAATTTTGTTTTTTTTTGTTTTTTATATTTTATGATTGGATGACTTTTAATTTTTGTGCATTTTTAGCTATCCCAATTTTGATTTTTAGCGACGAAAATGTGTTGTAGAGAAAGTTATTTGTCTTTTAGCGATCAAATATCATTGTTGTTAAAAATGTCATTATTTTGTTTTTAGGGACCAAATGGGACATTTTATGACGAAGTATTAGTGACTAAATGTTTAGTCTTGTAAAATCAAACATTTTGTGATAATATAGAATGAGATCTGCTAGGAACCCAAATGAATTATCAAATATTCTACTAAACATTTCACATGGGTGTGGGATCCACACACAAATCACGTGTATGGGTTCCACACTCACATGAGATATTTGGTAGAATATTTGATAATTCATTTGGGGTCTATAGCATTTTCCATATAAAATTGGTCGCTAATATTTTCAAAAATTCGTCACTAAAGGCTTTTCTAGACGCACTTTTATTGACTTTTTTAGTGACAAAATTAATTTTGTCACAAAAACCATTTAGAGACCAAAATAATGGTTTTAGGAACCAAAATAATTGGTTGCCAAAAGTCATATATTGTAGTGTAAAGTGAAAAAGTGACTAAATATAAAAAGGGTAAAGTGTAATTTATCCAAAATTCAATACCTTCAGCAAAGCATGCATCGCTCTACTAAACTATTGTATTTTTTGTAGCAAATCTTTATTTGGTCTTGAACTATTGAATTTTTCTCAAACCAGTTATACTTAAAAGTAACTTTTTTTTTGTGAAAGAACTCGATTCCAGTTATTGATTGGGCTACATTAACAAAAATCCAATAATTTTGTACCTTAAAAGTGCATAGTGTAATTTACTCATTATTCTTGTTATCTTTGAGCACTGTAAATCAAATGGCCATGAGATGAATGGTTGATTAAATGAACACCATTTTCTATGTGAAGGAAATGAAGCAAAGTGCTACAATTTTGAATGTATATTCAAAGTGCAGCTTGTCGCGAAATAATAAAGTCCCGGTGAGTCCGAAGTCGAATTTACAGGGATCGGTATATTCGAATAAAGAACTAAGTAATCGAGAATAATACAAAATTAAATTAAATTAATTGAAAAGGATTTGAATAATTTGAGAAAGTAATTGATTAAAAATAATTCAAAGTAATAATAATATGAAATACTAAAGCATTAAGGATTCACCACCGATGTCTTATTTGTAATATATTTTTCATTCAATTTGTTTAACTCAACTGAAAATAACACAAATGGTGTTTCCAATAGGAAGATAAAATAGTTATTTTGAATAAAAAGAAAAAATCTCAAAAAGATTGATTATTTTGAGCGGTTGATTACACAATGAAAATCTAATTATTTGATTCACAAGAAATTCTAAAGCTTTTACTGTGCCAGGGTCTACGACAGAACAAACAATTATATAGAACAAAAGCTTTATCCAAAAATATATAGACCAACCAATAGCAATAATCAAACAATAAAAACTATAATTGAAACATAAAATACTTGCAAACAATTCATTCTCCTAGCCTTAGCGAAAACAGACAATTCTGTATTAAAAAACGGCTGAATGAAAGATGCCCCTCACATTAGGTGGGACACATTCCAGCACAGAAATTTATGTTTATTTATCTGTTTTTGTTGGCTATGGTAATCAAAGCACTCTTGCATGAAAGACAAGCAATGTTGACAGCATTATTTGACTTCATTCACGGAATCGCGGATTATTAATGGTCTCGTGACTTGTGAAGTTTCATAATACAAATGACACGGAACAAACACCTCCAATAGGTCAAAGACTACAAAGACTCCAGAGCAAGAATGGAAAGGATTATTTATTCCCTAAATAAGTTTACAAACATACAGAGACTCAAAGTGGAAAGAAAATTCACTACAACAAAATTAAATTTTTACAGCATGAAATGCATTTCACGACATGCAAGCAAATGTTATGACATGCCGTGAAAAGTTAATCGTCATTTACGGCATGCAATAAAGTTGTAAAAAGTAATAAATTGAACATTAATAACATACTTTTTATGTTGTATATAATTTTTTATGACATTTTTTTTAAGCCATAAATCATTATAATTTTCACGGCATAATTTTGCATGCCGTAAAAGGTCATTTTTAATATATATACATTCATTATGTTGTTTCTATATCTCTTACTATATCTTACCTGTTCTATACAATTCTTTACATCATTACAAAATCATTTCTTACTCTATACAATTCCAAACATTATTATAAATTAATTTTTAATAAGTATGAAATAATGTCTCATAATGCTTCCTAATTTTCTAATACTAACAAGCCTAAACAACAAAAGCTACATTTAAAGATATCACTATCATATAATTTTCCTAATCAAAAAAAGCTACATTCAGAATCAATCTTTGGTGTGTGTGTAATGTGTTGGGTTAGTAAACCAACAGGTTTTAAAGGACCTATTAGAAGCCAAACCTTTTTCTTCACCTCCTCCTCTCTGTGCTTCTGAAAAGGCGCCTTCTTCTGCATAAGAGAGAATGAAGTCATCTTTCATCAAATGCTGGCAAAACAAATCACAGATCCACTTCAATTCAATAGTCATATTCATAAATCTCCAAAAATAGGCATCAAAATTCAAAACCCATATGTTAAATAAAGAAATTAGTGTCATTAACATGATTGATTGAAATCTAGAATTAGAGAGTGCACTTTCTTTTCATGGATTGAGGATGTGCATTCAGAATAAATACACAATTATCAAGGATGGTGAATTATGTAATTAGTTTTACATTTAGCTGTTCTAGGAATTCTTGGTTCTACCCTTGTTCCTATTGAAGCCTTGGAGTGAGCAATCAATTAGCAAGCTACCAACCGAGAGACAAAAAGTGGAAATTCTATGTTAACACAAATGGCCCAACAAAATGTGAAATCACAATCTTAAGGTTGATGTAACTGTGCTAACTTAAACGGATAATGGAATACATGAACAATGTGAAGCCTCAGTCATAGGGTTGGGCAATTCCTTTTACAAACTGAGAGAAATTAAAAGTGTTATTGAAGAAAATAATTGAAACCTTCTCAGAAAAATCTAAAGTAATTTACCAATTGCAAAAAAATATCATTGATTCCACAAAACATTATACTGGGCCATAGAAATTTATTGAAATTATTAAGTCAAACAGAAATTTAACATTTCTATAAACTAAACATAGCTTAAACCCTAATTCATTGAAATGATCACGTCAAATAGAATAGAGAATCTGCGGCAACATTTATTATCAATCTGATATGCAATTAATATACAAACACATACTCCATCAAACAAGTTATATATAGAAGTGGATACATGATGAAAGCACTAGCATCTAAATTACAAATAAATAAAAATAAAAAAAAAGTTCAAAAATTGTTGATTTATTCTACATGATTGTAATTGAGATTCATTGTAATCACAAATAAAATATGGGGGATTTTTTTTCCAATCTTTGAAGGTTGCTCCCCTTTGGTCCATCTATGGACATGAGTAAGAAAACTTACAGCTTCAATCCAGTGTTGGAAAGCCAATTTCTGTGCTTTGGAGTCCTTGGACAAACCCTTGCCAACCTGCCCAACCCAATTAACATGATAATCTTTCATTGAACACATAATAATATAATACTGCTTAATTATTAGATTAATTGGTATTTTAAGCAAATTATTACAGATTCATGAAAAATTAAAAGAGTTTGGTTATTAATGATGTAAAAGTTTACCACAGATGATTTTGTAATTATTTTTAGAAATTACACTGAATTGGGGAAAAATTTAGAAGAAGAAGAAGTAGATGACCTTGAAAGCATTCAACCTGACTAGACTCCAGCGAGAAGCTGCGGTCTCTGGTTTGGAGAAATTGAAGAATGAAATCATTCTATAATTCAATCGAGCATAATCGATCCCTTGCCACCTTCAAAAGCATATATAAACAAACATCTCTACTGTAATTGATTCGAGCTTATACATACATACATACATACATATATTGTAGTATAAATAAGCAAAACAGAGCCATTGAAGTCTTGAAGACGTACCAGAGTTCTTCCACAACTACAGCGGAGTCTGCTAGCATGCTACTTTTTTCCTCCTAAACAGATCAAATCAAAATCAAAGTTACAACAAAACCACAAGATTAAAACAAAAATCTCAACAAATCAATGCATATAGAGAAAGAGAGAAAAACTGACCTTTGCTTTCACGAATTGGATCAATTTCTGTCTAATTCCTCACCGGCGTCGCTTTCCTCCTCTTCGGCGTCCCTTTCCTCGAACTACTCGTCGCCGGCTTCATTTTGCTAATCGAAAGCGAAAACGATTGTATGAAAATCTATCAGGGGATTTGAAGGTCTGGTTCGTTTTCTAGGGTTTTGAAGGAGGAGTGAAGAAGAGAGGGGTTGGGTTTTATTGGTGAGTCCATAATCCGATTTGAATACAGTGACTAAAACATATCACTGAACCCACCTAGGGTCTCTCTCTCTCTCTCTCGCTCAAGTAGAGGCGATAACGAAGAATCCCCAATAAGATTCAAGGTGGCCACGACACAAATAGGGATTGCAAAATTTTCAACTTGACTCTATTTGATCTAACCTGGTTTAATAGGAAAATAAAATAAAATAAAAAAGTTCAAAAGAATTAATACCCCTTCTATACTTTTTTTTTTTATTTAACAAAATTAATTAAAAAATAAAATTATTAACTGCTCTAATATAATAATAAAATTACTTGAATTATTATTTGAAATAAATTTCTAATATCACTAAAAACTGTTAATTGACATTATAATTTATTAATAAAACAGATCATTTATTATAAAATTTTAAACTTCAAGGGTGGGATGCAATTTCCAGAACCATAGGGACAATTTGTACTTTAATTTAATTTTTTTGTCTAAATTTTTGTTAATTTTGTATGTGTATATCTTAAAAAATTGACAAGTGTTCCAAAATAATTAATTTTAATCTTTAATTTGGACATAATGACCAAATTGAAACTAAACTCAAATTATAGGGATCAAATTGTTCACTTCAAAACTATAGGAATTAAATTAAAATTTAGATCAAATTATAGAGGTGAAAAGTGTAATTAACCCAAATAAATATAAATGTATATAAAAAGTTTCTCTCATGATTTCAAGTGATGCAATTTTTATTCAATTGAAGGGTTGGATTACAAAGTCAATAATATAAGTTTTTTTAGTAGAAGTTTTCACGACATACTAATGTATGCCGTGTAAAGTTATACTATTTTACGAGATAAAAGGTATGTCGTCTTAAGTGCAAATATTTGTATGTCGTGAAAATATGTATTTTTTTACGACATTCTTTTGTATGCCATAAAAAAATTGGATTAAAATTTTTTATAGTAGAAGTTTTCACAGCATGCTAATGCATGCCGCATAAAGTTATAATAGTTTACGACATGAAATATATGTCATTTTAAATACAAATATTTTACAACATTTTTGTAAACCGTGAAAATATACATTTTTTATGGCATATTTTTGCATACCATAAATATATAAATTAATGACTTACATGGTGTGTATGTTGTTATTGAAAAAATATTAACGGTTTACAAAAAAAAAAAAAAATGTCATAGAATGTACGAACCACGACATGCATTCGATGCATGTCGTAAACATGAAGCCGTAAATAGTTAGTTTTGTTGTAGTGATTGATCTCACATCTTACATGAATATCTAATAATATTCTAAGCCTCCATAGAAAAATAACATTTTCTGATAATATTCTAATAATACCATAGTTCCTTCACTTACCTCGAGTTTTAAGATACTTTGCAGTGTGTAAAGACAAACTCTCTCTGCAATTCAGGATAGAAGCTGCAACGTCCTATGGGAAAGAGCAATCACCAAATCCAACTCCTAATATTGCATGTTCGTAACAAAGCATGAATTCCAAACCACACTCGCCCTGACTTACTCATATAGCCATCTTTATCCATCAGGTTGCTGAATAGGTCTGGAAAAACACATTTGAGACAGCATCCCTGCACCAAGGATCATTCCAAACATAAATCTACCGTCTCCCTTTGTGTACCCAATATGCTTTCAAAATTTCTCCAACCATAATTCCACTATCAATATCAACCAGCCACATGAGAATGTCTCACCTAATCAGTGTCTGATCTACCCTTCTCATATTTGCCTATCACATCTTAAATGAATATCTAAACAAAAAATAACAAATAAGCAAATTGATTGTAGAAGATCAATGTTAAACAACATAGAAAATGGACCATTTTTTGACACAAACACTACACTACAATCAACTAAGCTAACAACAACTAATTTGGCAACAAACTGAACTAAATAATGACAGAACCATGTGGAGTAGGTTGTCCAAGCCTGGAACCTTACATATTCCCAAGGTTGAAGGGGAATAGAATGGATCAAACAAGTAAATAACAAAGAACTTTCAAGCAACTCTTGATCTACCATGTATCCTCCTGATTAGATATTCCTCCAAACCAGCAGCTGCTTCCACTATTCTTGTGTCAGGCATTATTTCTACCTTCAAAACCTCTTCGAAAAGATTTCCCATTGTAACAGTTTCATCCACCTCACAAATTCTAGGTACAATTTCCAACCAAGTATCCACATGCGGGGCTTCCCCATGGCTCAACATTTCCTCCAACATTCCACAAGCTTCATTGACCTTACCAACATTACAGAAACCAATGATCAATGCATGAAAGATTGAAAAATGTGGAGAAAGCCCCTTCAATATCATTTCTTTCATATAATTCTTGGCCTCGTCGTACATGCCCTGATTGCATAAACCAGCAACCAAAGTTCGATAAGACACCAAATTCGGTAAGCACCCATTTGATTGCATATCCTCCAGAACCTTACAAGCATCGAAAGCACGACCTTCCCTGCAGAATCCCAAGATGACAGTATTGTAATGAACAATGTCAGGATTGCATCCTTTAACCTTCATCTTGCAAAGGAGCTTGTAAGCCTCCTTAAGCTTTTTCTTCCTACACAAACAATTCAACAATGTGGTATAGCTCAAAGTATCTGGCACGAAACCTTTGTTCAACATATCTTCCAACAAGTCAACAGCTTTGTTCACCTGACTCTTCCTACACAATCCCTGCATTAAAATTCGATAGGACTCAACATCAAGAGCAACATCTCTTTTAAACATCTGATTGAACAGGGAATATGCAATGCTGAGACGACCATGAAAACAGAAGGCACGCATCAGAATGTTGTAAGAGTTAGTGTTGGGTGATGTTCCGAAGCGGTGAGCAGATTTGAAAAGGTCAAAAGCAGGGCGGAGATAGGTGGGATGAGCGACAAGGACCTGGAGGACAAGGCTTAGGTGCTTGGGCAGGGGTTTGGTATTGAATTGGAGGATGGTGTAAAAGGTGTTGAGGACTTTGTCGGGAAGTTGGGCATCGGCATAGAATCGGATGATGTGAGAGAAGAGGGAAGGAGCAACAGGGCAGCCGTATCAGAATGTTGTACGAGTTAGTGTTGGGTGATATTCCGAAGCGGTGAGCAGATTTGAAAAGGTCAAAAGCAGGGCGGAGATAGGTGGGATGAGCGACAAGGACCTGGAGGACAAGGCTTAGGTGCTTGGGCAGGGGTTTGGTATTGAATTGGAGGATGGTGTAAAAGGTGTTGAGGACTTTGTCGGGAAGTTGGGCATCGGCATAGAATCGGATGATGTGAGAGAAGAGGGAAGGAGCAACAGGGCAGCCGTGGGCTTTGAGACGAGAGAGGAGGCTGTGCATGAGAGAGAAGTGATGAGATCGGCCGAGTTTGAGAATGAGAGTGTGGAAGGAAGAGTAAGAGTGGTGGAAGTTGGGTTGGCGACAGGCCAAATTGAAAATTTCTATGGCAAGGAGTGGGTCTGGTTGGGAAGCTATGAGCTTTTGGATTTGAGCAGGGGACCCAATTGGGATTGCAGGAGGAGGAGAAGGAACTACATGTTTTTGCATCTGTTTGAGTTGTTTTTGTTTCTGCCGTTGATTATGGTCTTCTTGTTGTGGTGGTGGTTGTTGTTGTTGGGGTGTTGAAGAGAAGAAAGAAAATTTTGGGAGTTTTAGCAGGAGAATAATGGAGCAGTGAATAACGGTGGTATCAACTTTGTAGGAACGAAGATGAGGAAGAAGCAGTTGGTGCATTCTAATAGATCAATTAATGGTCAATTTCACAGTAAACAGGAATATTATTTGTTTGTGAATGAGAGGAGAGGAGGGTTTTTCAGATGTTTTCTTCCTTCTTAATATCATCAGGACAGCATGCATCTTTGTGCCAAGTTCTCTGCCCTGCTCCAGCAGCTGCGGTATAACTATCATGATCGAAGCCAATGCAATTGCTGACTGTATTGCCAAATTAGCAGCTACCTCTCCATTTTTGTTATTGGTACTGCATATGTAATGGAAGATCCTCAATGTAATGACATTTTCTTGATTTGAAAAAAGAATAAGTTCATAATACTATTTTATATAGCTATTAGAGCATCTCCAATGGAGCTGCCAAAGCCATAATTTGGCAAGAGTGAAAAAAAGGGGTCTCCAATGGCCTGCTATTCCTCTTGCTAAACATAAACATGGCACATCATCAAAAATAACTGATTTTGGCTCCAAAGCTCAATTCATCCTCTCCCAGGAAAATATCCCAAAATGTTTGAAGTTTTTTTTTTTTAAACGAAATTCACTAATAATTTTTTTGTCAAACATAATTCATTTATTTATTATAGAATCTGTTCCTTCAAAAAAAATTTTCTCAAATTAAATTTCACCAATTTCTGCATTTCCCAAACACAAATTTCAGAATGATCAGTCAAGAATTTGTTTCACAAATTTCACAAATATTTGGAACAATTAGTCAATAACAAATTTCAGAATGATCAGTCAACCAAAATGTCACAAATTTATATAAATTTCTGAAGCAATCTAGTTCGAATTTAGAAGATAAATACATGGATTCCAATATGATTGATGAACTTGTTCTTCATCTCAACCAATTTCTGGGTTTTGCACTGAGTTTCAATATTTGAAAATCTCACAAAAGATTTTGGGTCTGTTGTATTTTTTTCCCCTAATTTGGTCTGAAACAGACACGGATCAGAGAGAGGGGAAATGGGATTAACACTACAACAAAATTGAATTTTTACGGCTTGCGGTGCATGCCGTAAAAACTCTTTCACGTCATGCACATAAATGTCGTTATATAACATGCCGTGAAAAGTTGAGCGTCATTTACGACATGCAAGTAAAGTTATAAAAAGTAACAAATTAAACGTTAATGACATATTTTGTATATCGTATATAATTTTTTACGACATTTTTATTATGCCATCATACTTTCCATGGCATAATTTTGCATGCCGTAGAAGGTTATTTTTAATATATTTATGATATACTTTGTATGCCGTATATAATATTTTACAGCATTTTCTTGCATGTTATAAATCATCACACTTTTCATGACATAATTTTGTAGACCGTAAAAAGTCATTTTTAATATATTTATGACATACTTTGTATGCCGCATATCTATGAAGCACGGGTACTCCAAAAATGATGCCGTACGAGTACCAGATACATACTAGGTACGGGTACGCGTACCGGGTACGGCCAAAGAGGGTCCGGTACGTTTGGTACATTTGGGTACAGCATGGGTACGCCGTGGGTACAGAAGGATACGCCGGGGCAAAAAATCAAATTGTAAAGAGATTCGGGAATCGGGAGTATCAGAGTAATTTATTTATGTTCTTTATTAAAAAAAAAAAAAAATAGAGTTATTTTGTAATATTAAAAATATATACAAACCTAGGTTTATAGGAGAGCATCGTAATCTTGAATCTCAGTTCTTCATTCGAAATCCTCATCCCTGCCAATGAGTTCCTTGAGAGCGAGACGAAGAGAGTCGACTAAGGGTCTGGGGGTCTTGGAGGGTTTGGAGTGAAAGATTTCGAGGGTGAGGAGGGAGTCGTGGAAAGGGAGGGAGGGGGGAAGGACGAAGTGCTCGTTCCAAAATGGCCGGTGCTGGTGGGTTGGGTTGATTTGCTGAGAGAGAGAGAGAGAGAGAGAGAGAGATAGAGAGAATGGTCAGGTGCTGGAATTGTCTTTGTTGAACTGGTATGGGAATTGGTAAAGGTGTCTTGCTTTTATTTACACCCCCTCTCTCTCTATATATATATAGTATAATATAAATTATACACTAACTTAACCTTTTGAAGGGGAAAAAATTATAAAAAAATAATAATAGTAATAGATAATTCATAGTGTAACTCTAATCTTAAACATCTTTAGAAGATATATTACAATTTTTGAAGGGGACAAAAATGAGAAGAAAGGTTAAAAATATGTTAGGTTCGACTCAATCTGATTGGATCCTATAAAAAACTCCATGATCACTAAAATAATAACAAATCATATGTATATGCTGGTTATTTTGGTATTAAATACTATTAGAAGTTGTATTATGTCATTTTCACTAAAAAGATGGAAAAAAATAAGTCGAAAATATGTCGAACACAATAATTTCAAAAATTGCATGAATCGTAAAAAGTGAATCGAATCGTGAATCGATTGTGAATCGTGCGATTTACTAGAGATTCACTTTCAAAATAGATTCACTCATAGATTCGTATCGATTTTGCAAAAATTACGTATCGAATCGTGAATCGAATCGTGAATCGGAAGATTCTGATAACAGAGTAGTATAATATAAATTATACACTAACTTAACCTTTTGAAGGGGAAAAAATTATAAAAAAATAATAATAATTTAGAATTTCATTTTAATGATAAATCAAACTTTTAATTTTTAATTATTTTAATTTAAATTTTTAATTTTTGAAATGATATTAATTATGACCATTTGACAATTATATTTAGTTTTGTAATTCTCTTTTTAGTTTTGATATTAAATTTTAATTTGTAGGTTGGATCCTTTAACTATAATTATAAAAATAAAAATAAAAATTATCAGCGTACCGCAGCCATACCCGTATCATACTTTTTTTGAGCTTTGGCGTATTGGCGTACCCGCACTCGTACTCGTACCCGTATCGCACTAGTACCCACACCCATGCTTCATAGCCGTATATAATCTTTTACAGCATTTTCCTCCATGTCATAAACTATTATACTTTTCATAACATAATTTTATATGCCGTAGAAGGTTATTTTCAATATATAATATATATACAGGAATATGACATTGCCTAACAGTATGCAGACAGTAACTTATAAAATGTAACCTGTGAACAAACCAAGCAAAAGCAGCAACTGTGAAGTAAATGAGTCCACTTCCAAACCCAAGTGAAAAATAAGGTCAATTTGTTGGAAAAGGAAACAAACAAACAAACAAACAAATTTGAAATTTTATTTTAAGAATATAAAATTAATTTATAGAACAGTCGTATTGTAACACGTATTAACAAAAATTAAACAAAACAAAAAAAATGAGAAAAAAGAATTGCAACTTTCAACCTTAATGAAATGACAACGTTTTTCAATACCATCTTTTGCCGAATTGCCAAGTTTGAGTGCTGTTTTTAGTTAATAATGATGTTGACTTCCAAGGATGTATTGAGGTGGGCTGGGGCATATCTATCTAATAAAATCACTATGCATATCATTTATAGCACCAATGATTTGTTGAACTCTACTCCTTTAAAATCATTATGCGAGTTAATTAGCTATCCAAAAAAAAATGTAAAAAAAATTCAATGCGAACGAAAAACAATGCATCCTTTCCTTCCGGTATGCATAAGGACATCTAACCATTTCAATTGAGACAAACCAAAATATAGAGAATTTAAAACCAATTGAGTGGAGACAAAAGGTTTGATCATAGATTTTGATAAATTCAACAATGTTCATAATATAAGCAGAAACATTAAACTGCTAGGTTTCACTTTCAAAACTTCAACATTTGGGCACTTCAAAGTTTAAACCCCATTAACATTTCCCAATGATTCAAAAGGTCGAAAACATTTTTTCCAAAACAAAATAAATACATGAGGTTACAAGAATTTCCTAAGATTTCAAGTGATGGTTTAGTCAACTTTCCAATTTGAATTACATCCATCCAGCCCAAAGACGAGACTGCATAAACCCTGGTGGAGGGGGGAATACAAATAAGACAGCCCCACTTTTATGCATAAGATATTTCATCTCAATTTGAAGCCATTTTGAAAATAAGATGTTCATTACATCTTCAACGGTATCCAGCTCCTCGAAGGAGCTCAAAAAGAGTTAACAATTGATCCAGTTTCCAGAACCTGGACAATAATAAGAGTCTGACAACTATATCAAATGGGGAAAATGTGCACACGTGTGCGTGAGAGAGACAAAAAGAGAGAGAGCACCACCAGCCAAGAGTCTGAGAGAAACTTTACATAAAAAGAGAAGCCACCATCCAATAAATTACGATTTGACAGCTGAAACATTTTATAACTAGCATATTCATCTTTATAATTGAACAGAATCATTAACAGATCAGATAAACTATATCCATGTCTAATCTGTTAACAATAGACCTATTAGATTCTGATAGTAATTGAATAATCACATTAAAACCACAAATTATTGGACCAGATTCGGCTTAAAATACAGTCCATTGATGGGCTTAGTCTCAGATTTATATTCCTTTCCATTTTCAGACAAATTTTATGTGCTACTGAGGCCAACATCATAGCCACCCTCAAGATTTGGCAAATGGACTCTGCATATATTCATTCCTATCCTACTGAATTCATAATGTAAAAATGAAAAAATAAATAAATAAAATAACACTTCTAGTTCTCAATCATGTCTCTTTATTGCTCTCTATTTCAGATTGTCTACTGTCATTTTATCATCATCTTCTGCAGAAAAAAAATGTGGAGTAGAGCATGACCATATTCTTCAGTCATCTCATCTTCATCTATCAATTGAAGTAGAAGTTGAGGACCCTTTAAAAAACAGTTTTACACAATTATTTAAAAATCATTTATAGGTATATTACAGAGTAGTGGATTCTTACTTGTATACTAAATACTCCGATTAATTAAAGACAAAACAATCTAAATATCAAATTCTCATCACACCTATCACAACGGTAAAATTCAGATCATCAGATCGACAACACAAGCGTAATCATAATGTCAATCTTCGGCAAGGAATATCAAATTCAACATCAATTCCTTCCACTAAACCACAGCAAAATCATAGGAATCTCGAAATGCAAGCGAAAATCAGCATGTAAGAAATACAAAACAGGAGCTAGAGAGAGAGAAGGTACCGTGAAAACGCTCTTCGAAGTAGACTTTGACTGAAGCGATCGCGAAGAGGACCTTCTTGTTCAATCCCAAAACGAGCAATCACAGAAGTGAAAACACATTGAACAAGGGCACGAAAACCCTAGAAATCAAAATCAAAGAGGGATGAGAGAGGAGAATCGGAACACATAAATTCAAGGCTTAGAACCGAATTAATCGAATAGAAACAGTATATACCGAATTAATCGAATCCGTGGAGGGGCTTAGAATCAGAATTGAACTCCAAGCTCGGAGTGGCAGTGGCTAGTGAAGTGATTGGTGGGCCTCCAAGAAAATGGTAATAGGGAAATGGGTTTGATGATGGTGAGATGAGATCTAAAGAAAGAGAAAGAGGGTGAATGGGTTTGATGAAGATGGAGACATGGATGAACATGGAGAGAGAGGGAGAGAGGGGTTGATAAAGCAGCCTACTTCTTTGATGAGAAAGATGCGGTTGGATTGTCGATCTCGAGAGAGATGCTCAGCCTACTTCTTTGATGAAAATGAAGATGAGAAAGAGGGGATTTCCAAACACTTACTTAATGGAATATTACTTTAATAATAATTATGTCTTAAATTAAAATTATTATAATAAACATCAAAATACATCCATAATATTACATCGAAATATTTTTTTTATACATTTTCTAAAAACAAAAAAAAATTAGACTAAGTTTGGGAAGACTAAATAAATGTACTTTTTGACTTTTTTTATATTATGTATAGAAAAAGTAAAGAGGATATGTTAATTGATGTGACCCAAAAAAGATAAAAAGATGAAATAAGTGTACTTTTTTAAGTTAGCCAAACTTGACCTTAGTTCAAAAACTCTAATCCATACCCAATCATAGTTACTCAAATCGAAGATTATCCCAATCTCATTGTAAATACAAATTCATCATTCTCATAAATAAAACTTCTCAAATCGAAGATTAACACAAACTCATTGTAAACACAAATTCATCATTCTCATAAATAAAACTTCTCACTGTATTGAAACTCTAATTCATTCATAAATACATAACTCACAATATGCATATATAAACACAAACATATATCTATAGAGAAAGAATTATGCTAAGAGAGAAACAAACCAATAGCATGAGTCGTCTCTGGAACCACCGTGGAGCTTCCATGCCCTGAGCAAATCAATTGGCGAATAAATTTACCAATTCTAGTATTACAGAACTGAAATACTGTATTCAATTCGGAAGTTAACCATCGAGTTTTTTTTTTTTGGGGAACTTAATTGTCGAATTTAGCAAATTTATTCGAAAGTAAATTTCTGAATTAAATAGATAATTTCAAAAAACTAGTGCTGAATGCCAAAAATTGCAAAACTCGAAAAAAAAATAAATAAATAAATAAATAAATTTATGGTAGTATAGTGCACATGGTCTTCATTGGTGTTGGTGGATCTTCAATGAGGTTTTCAATGGAATTGAGGTCTTCAATGGAGGACTATGGACTATGCACTTTAATTGTGGTTTTCTTTGTCTAGAATGGAACCGTAGCAGTGGCTCTACAATTTTCAATTAGTGTAGAGGAGGGTTAGGTTGTGTGTGTACAATGGTACGAGTGAAGGGTATAATTGAAACATTTAGTGTGTGGATTGAGAAAAATAATTAATAATCAAATTAATAGGTTTGCGCACTGAGAAATAATGTGTACTGAGCTAACTAAGTGTGTGGAAATAGAATTTCTCAAGAAAGAGAGAATGGTGTGTTGTGTTGATAAAGCAGTTGAATGAAGATGACCCTAGAATGCAAAAAGCAACCGTTGGATTGCAAAAACATCAACGGTGTGAATGGTGTCTTGGAATGCAAAAATGTCGGTTGTGTTTGGTATAGCTCTGGAATCTTAATTCCAGAGTTATTTTCTACACATTGTTTGGTTTAACCTTTCCAAAATTGATTTCAAGTCACATTTCAAAACTTAATTGAAAATCTATTTGGCAACAAAGTGAGTTTTTAAATTTTGAATTTTGAAAAGAGCAATTTTGGTCTATCCAGTCGTCCTCCCAAACATCCCCCAAATGTCTGAATAGTTTTTTTTTTTTTTTGCAAATGGCGCCTGTTGTTTGGAGGGGAAAAAAAATGGGAATTTGTTTTTGATTTTTTTTAACAAAAAATAATATATATTTTTTATATTTTAAATAAAAAATATTTAAAAATAATAATTCGAACCAAATAGACAATAAAAGTTATTTTAAATCAGTAATTGAATATTTATTTTGAAAAAAAAAATATATTTCCTTTGTAATATTTTCAATTAAAAAAATTGATTAATGTTATTTTTTGTTAATAATTAATTTTTTTAATTGAATTTAAAAAAGAGTTTGGTTATGAATGTTGACCAGAATTTTCAATAAAGTTTTGAGTATTGTGTTTGGTTATAAGTTATAACAATTTGAATTAAGTTTTGAAAACTCTTTCCAAAACTCATAACCAATCAAATTTTCTTATTTCACATGTCACATCAAACATTCCAAACTCAACTCAAAACTCAAATTTAAAATTCTTTTCAAAACTCATAACCAAACAAATTTTCTACACTCAAATCATAATTTTAAAACTTACAAATTCAAAATACAATTCTATTCTCGAATCATATTTAGAAAACTCTACCAAACGCTACCGTAATTTTTTTTTTTTTTTTTTGTAGTGGTTTATTTTTTGCTGGGGTGAATTATATTTAACAATAATGACCCGGACCCCCTTTTTTTCCCCACCCCCTTGACCCTTTCTTCACCAATTTTTTTTTTTTTTTTTTTTTTTTGTTTTCTTTTTTTTCCTTCTCCTCCAATCACCACCCGCCACGTGTGTAGGGGTGGTAAGGGTGGTGATTGGAGGGGGTCTCAATCATGACCCTATATTTAAATTATTTTTCTAATTTTTTAATTTCTTTTTCATTTTTTATATTTGTCTAGTCAAGTATAATGTAAATATATAAATTTTTTTTACAAACAGTTAAAAAAAAGGTTACAAAAGACAAAAAATAAACAAAAAAAATACTAAAAACCTATATCCAAACAACACTTATAAATTTGATGAGAAAGTTAGTTGAGATTTACCAAAATAACATTTGTACCATTGAAGTCCCATTGTTATAATTTGACAAATTACTACTATTCATTGCAAAATTATAACAATAAAAATGGTATTATATCAAATAGCATTGGAGATCCTCCTAGATATGTAATTGACAGGACTGGCTCTGACTTTTATAGGAGGGGCCTTTTTTTCATATACATCCCAAAATATATTTATATTTATATTCATTCTTAATTTCACTAGGTTCTTCAATTATAAAATCTTCAACAACTAAAAATAATCTCTCTACCTGTTTCTTGTTACTAAAAAAACTTATCAATTGCACCCGATTGAGAGTGAATAATTTTTTTTACTTTTTGTTTCTTCTTTTTTTTTTTCACATCCAGAACTATATCTCCGAGGAAGCATGACTATATAATAAAAAAAATCCACACAAATTCACAATTCACTAAATACGGATATCTGCATATAATAATATGTTTCAAAAAGCTAGATAATAGAAAATAGAGATTTCCATTGGGGCACATAAATAAGGAACAGAAATTACGGCGCAGAAATTGTAAAACAAAAGTTAGGGAAAAAACTATTCCATTAAAATCTGAGAAAGAGATAGAGGACTCACACAGTCACACTCACAGTCGCCGGACTGCCTCTGCCCCACCGTCAAAAACCAAGTGACGCTGCCACTGCTGCTAAAGAGTAGCGGTAACGTTTCTGTCGATTTTAGTATAATTTTTTCTGGCCTTTACATTCGGCCACAAACTATAGTAGATTGTGCCCTGAACCCTCAACCCTGATCCAAATATTGAACCCCAAGGCAGAAGCCTCTCTTACCTTGCCTTTTCACTGGGTCAGGCCTAGTGCATTACAACCAATGAAGAGGATCGAGATATGTAGCGCTCTTCCTTGGGCCATTCTACTTCCAAAAATTATTCCACAGCTCAATTTTTTTTTTTTTTTTTTTTTTTTCACGTCCAAAACTATATCTCCGAGGAAACATGACTATATAATAAAAAAAATCCACACAAATTCACAATTCACTAAATACGGATATCTGCATATAATAATATGTTTCAAAAAGCTAGATAATAGAAAATGGTAATGCTAGGGACACTAAATTTTTTACTAAACAAATGACCAAATGTCTCACATGGCTGTGGGGTCCGCAATTTTGTGGGCCCACAGCCATGTGAGACATTTAGTCATTTATTTGGTAGAAAATTTGGGACCTCTAACATTTTCCAATAGAAATTGGAAAAGGTAGAGATTTCCATTAGGGCACATAAATAAGGAACAGAAATTACGGCGCAGAAATTATAAAACAAAAGTTAGGGAAAAAACTATTCCATTAAAATCTGAGAAAGAGATAGAGGACTCACACAGTCACACTCACAGTCGCCGGACTGCCTCTGCCCCACCGTCAAAAACCAAGTGACGCTGCCACTGCTGCTAAAGAGTAGCGGTAACGTTTCTGTCGATTTTAGTATAATTTTTTCTGGCCTTTACATTCGGCCACAAACTATAGTAGATTGTGCCCTGAACCCTCAACCCTGATCCAAATATTGAACCCCAAGGCAGAAGCCTCTCTTACCTTGCCTTTTCACTGGGTCAGGCCTAGTGCATTACAACCAATGAAGAGGATCGAGATATGTAGCGCTCTTCCTTGGGCCATTCTACTTCCAAAAATTATTCCACAGCTCAAATTTTAAAATTTTATTTCTTATTATATTGTAATATAAATTTATTAATAAGGATAATAAATATTAAATTTTAAAATAAAATATTATTTTTTCTTATCGTATACCTAATCAATTATACGTATTCTTCCTATTCAAATTTTTTCATTTTCTTCCTTACATTTCAATTATTTTTTTCTTTTTCTTTTTCTTCACTCCAAAACTCCAATCCACATCATCAAAACTCACTATTATCATCAACATCATTGTTTTTATCATATTATTACTTGCAAATAAAATAAAGTTTGAACAAAATCAAACAATTGATTAGAATAATAATTAAAACAGTTTTTTGAGACAATCCATCAAAGATGATGTAAATATTGACATAAATATCAAAATACAATTTTGATTTCTATGTTTTTTTTTATATACATAAAAGTGAATATCCAGCTTGTTTTTTTTTTCATTATTATTCAAACTTTCATAACCGAATAGATGGAAGTTCAAACGTGAAGTTCACCCTCTCCTTTTCATTCACCATCCTTCTTTGCTAGTGCCGCTTTCACTGATGTTGGGTTCCCTAGTCGATATTCCCTGTATGTACGTGAACAAAAGAAAAAAATTTCAAAAGGTTTTTCAAAAGTAATTTGAATTTTTTAATTTATTTTATTTAAGTGTACCTCAAAAGGGTAATTTAGAAAAAAAAAAAAAAATAGGGTCTACTAAGAATAAATTGTAACCCTATATAATTTAATATGATATACTAAAGAATTAGGCTCACTTAAATATTTTTTGGGTGTAAATAGAATTCTTCCACTTCCTCCCCTACCATACTTAGATAAGGTCATTCACTTAATTTCATATATGATTTTTTATTAAGCGGTAGTGCAATCAATTAGTTTTCTTGAAATGCTGACCCTCAATATGTGCCATATACGTGTGGTCAGATCTTTTTTTCTTTTCTTTTCTTTTCTTTTTTTTTTTTTTTTTTTTTTTTGCCAAATACATGTAAACATCTATCTGTTGTCTAGCTTTGATATTATATTGAATTTTTAATCACGAATTCATCTAAAAGATTAAACTGTTATATATATACTTTGTTTTATTTTGATTGTTGATATTTTATGTGGTTTAGTGCAAATTTGAACAAAAATATCCCTTCTATTATAAAATTTGGACAAAAATAACGTTGTGGACTATTTTAATACAAAGTTGGATACGGTTGAACCATTTTGACAATTGAAATATGAGATTAAGAAACTAAAATAAGGATTGAAACAAAACTATTTATTAAGATTCATATAGAATTATAATCCTTAATATGAATTATTTCAAATAAGTATTTCATACATAATTGTGGTTTCAAATCTATGACAATCCTCTCAAATTCAATCTTGATATTCATATGTAAATGAATATTATTTAAATTGAATTTGAGTTAATCCTTCAATGAACATTATCTAATTCCTTAACTTAACTTGGTACAAACTGTTGCGTCCTTGTAAACTCTTCCCGGTCGACAATAGTAGCCTTTACTTGGGGCACAATGAACATCTTGAGAGCATACACACAACTCTTCTAGAGCACAAACCTCATGGACCATTGTCACTCCATTTTTCAATCCAAGTAATTGGTCTGTCCAATTGCTAGAGAAAATCCCTAATGGATCATACCTCGCCTTCACCTTCAAGAACTCTCCAACATTCTTGTATTTTTTGATTACACCATCAAGCGCTACGTTTCGATTCTTGCCCCAATGGGGCAACCCTTCGTATTTGAACAAGCCAAGCTGCTCCACCTCCTCAAGTATGTCTTCATAAAGCCTAGGGGTCATTGGGTCTTTGCTACGATAATAAGTGATATCAAAGTCTACACCATCTTCTTGTTTGCCCAAGAAAGCACTTGAGGCCTTGACATACCTCATGAGGACTCCATTGTACAAGTCTAGGACACACAATGCTTTAGGCTCCAAATCAACTAGTTTTTGCACATCTTGAATGAAGCTCTTGACATTAGAAAACTATTTATTAAGATTCATATGAAACAAAACTATTTATTAAGATTCATATAGAATTATAATCCTTAATATGAATTATTTCAAATAAGTATTTCATACATAATTGTGGTTTCAAATCTATGGCAATCCTCTCAAATTCAATCTTGATATTCATATGTAAATGAATATTATTTAAAATGAATTTGAGTTAATCCTTCAATGAACATTATCTAATTCCTTAACTTAACTTGGTACAAACTGTTGCGTCCTTGTAAACTCTTCCCGGTCGATAATAGTAGCCTTTACTTGGGGCACAATGAACATCTTGAGAGCATACACACAACTCTTCTAGAGCACAACCCTCATGGACCATTGTCACTCCATTTTTCAATCCAAGCAATCGGTCTATCCAGTTGCTAGAGAAAATCCCTAATGGATCATACCTCGCCTTCACCTTCAAGTACTCTCCAACATTCTTGTATTTCTTGATTGCACCATGTTTTGATTCTTGCCCCAATGGGGCAACCCTCCGTATTTGAACAAGCCAAGCTACTCCACCTCCTTAAGTATGTCTTCATAAAGCCTAGAGGTCATTGGGTCTTTGCTACGATAATAAGTGATATCAAAGTCTACACCATCTTCTTGTTTGCCCAAGAAAGCACTTGAGGCCTTCACATACCTCATGAGGACTCCATTGTACAAGTCTAGGACACACAATGCTTTAGGCTCCAAATCAACTAGTTTTTGCACATCTTGAATGAAGCTCTTGACATTAGATAAGCTAATACTGAATGCGGTTTGGTGGAAGAAGAGTCCCTTAACCCTATGGTCCCATGGGCACATCGTGATCTTTCCATTCTCATGGCTATCAAGGCAAGTTCTCGAGGATTGGAGGTGGTTGTGATACCCAACCACTGGGTACCCCATAAATATAATACTTGTTAAAAATATGAAGGTTTAATATTAATTTTTATCCCCTAAATTATTCTCTCTCTATTAAAAAAAAATTATTTCTAAACTATTTTCATCTATTTAGTCCTTCAACTTTCTTTTTTTTATTATTTTTATTTCAGTTCATATGGTATAATTGGATATTGCTTGTTCAAATTAGTAATGATAAAACCTAATGTGCTTTGATCCTTTCACTGCTGGAAAAACCATATTTAGCGGCGTTATAGGTGCAATAAACGTTGCTAATTCTTTTTGTGACGTTTAGGACCAAACGCCAAAGATGCGGCCGTCTCTATAGCTTTATGACGTTTTAAAAACGTCATGATATCAGTATAGGCGGCGTTTTAAAAAACGCTACCAAATGTCCTACGTAACACATACTGACGTCACTGATGATGTTTAGCGACGTTTATCCCTTTTTTCTTTTTCTTTTTCTTTTTTGTTGAAATTGTGCTAATTTTATTTGATTGAACTAAAAAAATACTTGTAATAAAACTAACATATAAAATAATAATTCCCATTCAAATAACAAACGAAGCATTAATTCATTTTCTCATTCAATTAATATCTAATCACCATTACCCACAAAATTAACATATCCAAAATCCAAAAATCATGTTTTAACATTAACCACAAACTAACATATATCCAAAAATCATGTTTTAACATTAACAATAAACAAACATATATCCAAAAATCACGTTTTAGCATAGAAGCTGTAGTCTTCATTCATCTACATGCCTGCATCAGAACATAAACTGCAATCAGATTTGCCAAAATAAACACAAATTGAAGAATTTGAACCCAATACTTATAAACAGTACTTAAAACTTGAAGAAGCACTAACAAGAAGATTTTATCACATACCAAGAAGCACTACAATTCCAAGAATATAAATGCAAAGCACTAAGTACATACAAAGAAAAGGACATACCCAAAGACAATACAAACATAGATGAGAATCATGTAAAATTAAATAAATAATGTTCTCATAGCATAAACAAATTTAGATCTGCAGAACAGTAAATAAACAAAGCTTAATTTTGTCAAAATTAGAAACAAAATAATTTAGAAACACATTAAGCATTTGATTCTACTCCATCCTTATTTTTCACTTCAACAGAAGACCTCAAGGGCAGGGCCGGCCCTGGCCTAAGGCCAATAAGGCTTGTGCCTTAGGCCCCATAATTTTGGCCCAAAAAAAGGGCCCCCAAATTTAATAAATTGTTATAGGCCCAACCTTTTTTTTTTGTTTTTTTTGTTTTGTTTTAGGATCAATTTAAAGGGCCCAAAATGTTTTATTGGGCCCATGTTTGGTTTAGTCCATATTTATGTGGTTTGGCCCATATTTATTAAAATGAAAATATATAAAAAACAAAAAAAAAACAAATAAAGTGTTTGGGCCCAACCCAAACCATACATACAATATACAACATTGTTCACTTAATATATGAAAGTAAATTTTAATTTATAATTTTAATAATTATATGTGCAAGTATACTTAAATAAAAAATTTGTGAATACTTATCATTTTAATCATAAATTTTTTATTAAAAAAAATATATTAGAGGAGCCCCATTTTCATAGTCCGCCTTAGGCCCCACAAATCTCAGGCCAGCCCTGCTCAAGGGGTGTCATTTTTGTTGTTTGCATCACATATACACAGAACTAAATTGGTAGTTCAAGATAAATAATACTCTTCAAATAATCCATTCAGTTTTTTCTTTTCCTTTATATGATGAGACAATTGATCAAATACAATATTGATTTACGATCTACATAACCAGCATCATATGCAGAAGAACCACTCACACCAATATCCATTCAAAACTCCCTCTCTCTCTCTCTCTCACTCTCTCCAAGTAATCAGTACACAACTATGACTACTTTCGAAAGTAATAAAGCATTTCTAGGATACTAAAACAAAAAACATGACTGTATCAATCAAATACACTATGTCCCAAAAGAATGTCATTATTTTTTCCTGACTTTTATGCAGTCCAGCACTTATGCACAGAGATCGTCATATCAATTTGGTTGAATTATTGCCGCTAAACAAAGTTGTAAGTACTGACCTGAAAAAGTGAAGCCCGCTCTGGAACTTGAAAAATTGAAGATGCATACATCAATTCCACAGCAAAATCAATAGCAGGTCTGCATGCATCATGGGCACATACAGGGACGGACCTAGGATTTGATCGTCGGGGGGCCAGAAAATAAATAAATAAATAAATAAAGATGGGAAGACAAGTAAGGTTGGATTTAAGGGCCATATATTTTTATGCAATTAACACTTATGATTTTTCATGCTATTAATTGGAAAATGATAAACTTTGTTAAATATTTGATATAACAGTAATGTCACTAATTAATAAGAATTCTTACATTAGGGTAGTGAAAAATAATGATTGGCTTAGTGAGAGACAAAAATTGTAATTTTATTAATCAGTTTTTATCGGCTGAGATACTGCTATGCTCATTTAAGCCTTCCATATTTTATAAAGTGAATAATATAATTACAAATATATTTTAAAACATAATATGTTAGGGAGTTGTTATGATGTGTACTCTTAAAGTGCATTCCGTATACACATTATCACAATATATGTAACATAACCGTAACAAATTGTAATTTTTTTCACCAAATAGTTGTAACAATTTGCACCACAATGGTTGTAACATTTACACTATACCATTCATAACATAACTACAATAATTCATAACTTTCATTTAGAGATGCCCACTATAAATTCAACTTTACCACAAAATAATACTACAAATATTTTAACTTTCATTGCAAAAATTTATACAGCATTCTTCAGATGTTAAAAAAATATTAAAAACATGATAATTAAATGGGAGGAAGGCCCATGTAGGAAAGAAGTTGCAGGTGTTGAACTAATTCTATACATAACAACCAAGCTTCTTGAACAAAACGGGGGGGCCACGGCCCCTGTAGGCCTACATTAAGTTCCGTCCCTGGGCACATACATTATCAACACCAGTTGACACCTCTGTGGGGAAAGGCAACAAATCGTTCATACAATACTTAGGTTTCCCTTCCTTCTCAAAGGCCTTCTTTTCTTTCTTGAAAAGCTCATGGAAAAATTTGCTCCGAGCAGCCAATATACATCTGTGAACACCTACTGGGATGTTCTCAACAAGAAGCTTTGTGTCGCTATAATCACAGCTAGAGTCAACTAGAAGTTGTTTTAAATTATAGCTAAGCTTCCTTAAACTGATGATTTCGACACTAGACCCTCCCTGGGAACCAAAGGCTGGTGGTATATTCACTACAGGAAATATAGAATTTAGCGGCGTTTATTTAACGACGTTTTTTTAAACACCACTGTTTCTAACCTTTAACGACGTTTTATAAACGTCGCATTTTATTTTGATTAAAACGGTACCGTTTAAGGAATAGAAGTCGTTTTTTAAAAGCCTTCACATGTGTTACAATAATATTCCTCTCCCTCTCTCTTTAGCTCTGTGAGAATCAGAACCCTTCTCTCTCTCTCTCTCTCTCTGAGTCCTCATTTTGAATCTGGGAAACATTTAGAGTCTTAGAGAAACCAATCCCTCAAATCTCTCACTCACTCGATCGCTCTCGCTCTCTCTCTAAACCCTTCAGTCTTAGAGATTACGATTGAACGTTCTTCAACTCAATTTCATCTCAGATCCAATCTCAGAGTGATTTCGACTTTGAAGTTCTCTCTCTCTCTCTCTCTCTCTCTCTCTCTCTCTCGATTTCGAAGCTGCACCGCCACCACCATCTGCATCATTGACTAAGGTGAGCACCACCGTCTACAATCTCAATTTTGTATTCTCTCTCTCTCTCTCTCTCTCAAGCTCTTCGTTCCGTCGATTCTTCTCCTAGGGTTTACATATGTTTAAGATTTCAAATCTGAGTTTTCTCATTCAAAAATATATGTTTGAGATCTGAGATTTCTCATTCAAAAATATGTTTGAGATTTGAAATTTCTTATTCAAAAACATATGTTTCAGATCTGAGATTTCTCATTCAGAAAATATGTTTATGATTTGAAATTTTCCATTCAAAAATATTTGTTTGAGATTTGAAATTTCTCATTTGAAAATATACAGTCTTTCCTTATTAAAAATTTTCATTCGAAATAATATCCTTTTAGATATGAGATTTTCATTCGAAAATACATGCTTTTGTTAAATGATGATCAACCACCATAGTGCTTTATTTTCAAAGGC